TCTCCAACAACACAACCTCTCCGTCACAACACATTACAATACTAAAAGGCCATTGGGATGAATTATCTAATTATTCTCCATCATCAGCTTGCTCATGTTCAACATCCAAAAAATTAATATAAGACACATCTATAATAGTAACATTTAACGTAGTTTCTCATGGGTCTTAATGACACCTATTCAGGCGTGAGGCACTAGATTTTATTGATGGACCCTCTTCCCTCCGTTGGGAAATCTTACTCTCTTGTCCTACAAGATGAAATTCATTGCATGATTCACTCACAATCAACCATATTGGCTAACAGTGTTGCACTCATAGCAAAAACTAGCACGAAACCCGCCAACACAAATCAACGCCACCCCCATCAGACTCCCAGATGGTAGCATGACGACTGTTACCTCCATTGGCTTAGCTACTTTGAACAAATATATCTCTTTTGTATGTGCTTTATTTACCTAGTTTTAATTTTAATTTGCTTTCCATCAGTAAACTAATCAAAGCCCTGAATTGCTCTATCACTTTCTATGCTAACCATTGTTTGTACCAAGACCTTTCGACCACGACAATGATTGGACTAGGTAAGCAATTTGGCAAAATCTATCATTTTGTTGACATAAGTTACTGTCGTCTTTATTGGGTGCACATTCCTTAGTGAATCCTTCTTTTCTGATGCATGCTATTTTCTTTCCATTGTTGATGATTACACTCGCTCCACTTGGGTATTTCTCATGCAATTTAAATCCAAAACACAAATATTTTGAATGTATTTTTAATTGCATGCGCACTCAATTTGGTTATGCCATCCAATCCATTCGCACGGATAATGGTAGGGAAATTTTCTTGTAGCCCATGCCCATGCAATAGTTCCTCACATCCCATAGGATCCTCCAATATCATAGGTACGTCTCCACTCCTTAGCAAAATGGGGTCGTAGAGCGCAAGCACCATCACTTGCTTACCTTCAGTTGATCACCTCCATGTTTTTAGTTTTCTCTACTACGCTTCCATTGGCCACCTTTCAACTAAAAAATTCGACCCCCGTGTTGGCTACCTTCATGGTCAGAAAGCAAACAAACTCTATGATCTCCTTGATCACACCGTTTTCACCAGTAGGGACGTTGGCTTTCATGAGGATGTCTTCCCATTCTCATCGACCTCTCTCCCTCCTACTTCATCACCTATCCTCTCTTGACCTGTTGCCAAAATCATTGAACCCTCCACCCCTCTGGTGGATATCGAACCAACCCTTCATGACCCTCACTGGATGACCTTAACTCCACCCTTCTCTTCTGACAGCCCTGTCACCAACCCCACACCCCCACCAGTGCCTAGCCACTACTCTACAAGGGAACGACAACCCCCATGTTATCTATAGGACTATTGCTACTCGGCTCAATCACTATTGGCTCCATGAAAGCCTACATACATCTCTCATCACTCTCTTTATCATTGCATTTCACCCTCTCATCTTGCACTACTTAGTTCACTTACCACTCATACTAAACCTTCCACCTTCTCGGTTGTCGTTCAAGACCCTAATTGGCAATAGACCTGTTCACAAGCCGGGCTTTGCCTCTAAATTAATAGAATATGCTTAAGCCCGAGGCCAAGCCTAGCCTGACCATCGAGCCTAGGACTTGAGCCCGAGCCCAACCCTCATATAAAGGCCAAAGTTCAAGCCCAAACCCGGGGCCAACTAGAAATTTGGAAAAAACATTTTTTTTTTTACTTTTTAACTCAATTAAAAATTATTTTATTTATATTAAAAGACCTCAAAACCTAAAAAATAGTTAAAGATCTCATTATTATTTGAAAAAAATAGAAGAAAAATAAAGAAAAAATATATTATATATATGATTTTTTATTATATAATACATTATCAAGTCGAGCTCAGGCTCGGGTAGGGATTTTTTGAGAAAGCCCGAAGCCCAACGAGAAAAAAAGGTCAGGCCCGAACCTGATACCGCAGGCCTGAAATCCTGTCCAAGTCCGACTTAGATCGGGCCAAGCTGGGCTGGCCCGTCGGGCTACTTGGCCCATGAATAGGTTTAATTGGTAGGGTGCCATGGCCAAGGAAATTAAGGCCCTAGAGGATAACCCCACTTGGACCATCATAGACTTGCCCCTAACAAACATGCCATTGGCTACAAGTGAGTTTACAAGATTAAGTACAATTCTGACAACTTTATCGAGTGTTATAAAGCCCGACTCATAGCCAAAGGCTTCACACAATCTAAAGGGATCAACTATCATGAGACTTTTTCCCTAGTGGACAAAATGGGAACTGTGCGTTGCCTTTTATCCATTGCCACCATCAAAGGCTGGTCCATCTCAACTGGATGCCAATAACACCTTTTTACATGGAAACCTCGATGAAGAGGTGTACATGCAACTCCCACCAGGTTTCACCACTTAGGGGGAGAACAAAGTTTTCCCTCTCCACAAATCTTTATATGGCCTAAAACAGGCTTCATGAAATTAGTTCTCTAAGTTCTCTAATGCTCTCTTAGAAGCTGGCTTTATTCAATCGAAGGTTGATTATTCCTTGTTTGTTCTACATTCTAGCACTTCCTTCACAACAATTTTAGTATATATTGATGACATTTTAATTGATGGTAATGATCTCACTACTGTCGCCAAGTTGACTCCAAGTTTCATCTCAAGGATTTCAGCCCTCTAAAGTATTTTTTAGGCATTGAAGTTGCTCGCTCAAAGCATGATAGTTTTCTCAATCAGCATAAATACGCAGTGGACATCATCTTTGATGTAAGGCTTCTCGTTGCCAAACTAGTCGACTTTCACATGGAATAGAACAATAAACTTGGCAAAGACGATGGGCCATTTATGTCTGATCCGTCCAAGTACATACGCTTGATTGGTCGTTTGCAGTACTTGACCATCACTCGGATGGATATCGTCTGCTCCATCAATTTTCTAAGCTAGTTTTTGAGCAAGCCCCATCAAGTTCATTGGATTGTTGTGCTTTGGGTCCATTACATCAAAAGCTCCCTTGGTCTTGGCGTTCTTCTCTCCTCTCAAAATTCTCTTACGTTGCATGCTTATTGAGGCAAAGATTGAGGCGGTTGTGCTTCCACTCAACACCCCATTACAGGTTTTTGTGTTAACATTAGTGATAGCCTCGTCACCTAGAAGTTAAAAGAAGTAGGCAATTTTTCCCCATTCCTTCCCTGAAGCCGATTATCCTCTATGGCTAGTGTCACTTATTAAATCTAATGGCTACACTACTTATTGATAGATCTCAGCATTACTCCATCGTTTGCTTGACTTTTTTGCAATAACAAGACTGTCATATTCATTGCCTGCAATCCCATCTTCCATGAGAGGACGAAGCACATCGAGATTGACTGTCACCTTGTTCGCGAGAAAGTTCAGTCCAATTTGTTTAGGAATGACAATGGGGTGGGGCGGGGACAGGGAGCGTCTCTCCATCCCCATCCCCGCTAACAGGGACAATCTTATCCCCACCCCCCGTCCCCATGGGGACTCCCATCCCTATGAGGATCCCCACTCCCCATGATTTTTTATAATGTTAACCATTTTGTTTTTGTTTTTTATTTTACTTAAAAAATAAAAATAAAATAATTGAAAATTACAACCATATTAGAAAAGATTCAAACATATTCAACAATATTTTAAAAATATTAATATATAGATACATGTATAGATATATACATATATAAATGTATGCATATATATATATACATATATTAGTGAAGATCCCACGGGACAGGGATCGGGGTCCCCGTGAGGCAGGGAATGCTCTGCCTGTTCTCTCCAACTTGAGGAGGAGTATTATCACGGGACCCATGTTGCATGCATTATCCTTCCTTTGTTATCTTTATCTGGAACCTCTCTCTCTCTTCTTAAATATAAATTCTCCAAGCATTATACGTTTTACATCAAGATAATAAAGTCTGAACCATTATTTTATATATTGTACAATATTCAAGCCAAGAATCTATTCTTCATCTAATTTGTTATTGTCCTTTTGTTAAAGTTGTCCTTTTTGCTTCTCCATGTGGACTTAGGATTTTAACTTTCCTATTTAACTCATTTGCAGAATTCTTATTAGAAATATGTAACTTTTTCCCATTCTATTCCTGAAACAAATAATGTGCTATGTTGGATTGCTATTGCTCTATTTTTTGTGTGGGTTACTAGGAATGATTTGATCTTTAAGAACATTTATGGATCTGTCCACTGGGTTTAAAATGCTGTTTGGAGAATTTTCTTAGAGCTGAATGGTTTTGGTTGTTTAGATTTGGATAGTAATCAGCGGGCTGTGACTGTAGATAACTTGAACTCAATTCTTCCACTGTTAGATCCTTTTGATGTCATTATTAAGTGCGATAGTGGGGTGATCCCCAATGTTGGAATTTCCTATCGTTGATCAGTTTAATGTTTTGAAGCAATTTTTTAATGTTGATCAGTTTAGGTTTATTTCTAAAACAATGAATTGGGCAGCCCATAGATTGTCTCAGTAGCTATGAGTATTCTGTTGAAGATTCTGTTTCTTGGGTTAGCCCTTTTGTATTGAATAGTTTGTTTCTTTGTTTTGTTAGTGCTTTAATCTTTTCTCGGAAAAATGGAAGTTTGTCAGGATGTAGGGTTGTTTTATTCTCTTTTCTAACATTTCAAGCCCATTTTTCCTTTTTTAATTGGAATCCATATTTTTTCTCTTTCCATGTGAGATTAAAACAAAAAAGATGCGAGTTACCGAAATGGGCTTCTCACATATTTTTGGCACACTGTCTTTTGGCGGCTAGATCTTAACGAGAGTAGACTGAAAATTGTTCTTCCCAACTTGTAAACAGCCGAAAGTCCGTACGACAAAACGCACCAAACGGGCCCTTAATTATCTGTTCTAACTTCCATGATTCCATCACTTCAGAGCGGACAAATTTTTTAACACAGATACGAAGCTTAGAGGGAAAGAAAAGTGAATAATACAAACCTAGCTTAACCGAGATGAGAACACTTTTTCTTTAATTAGCTGAAAAGAGAGCACTTCAGTGAGTAGGTGGGTTCGTTTGGTAAAGGATATGCACCCTCAATCAGACCTTAAATTCTTTGAAGCAGAACACAGAACAGAAGCTCTTGTACTAACTCTACCCCTTGTAATGCACCTTCACCATTAAAACAAAAGAATTAAGGAAGGATTCATGGCTTGCTTCAAAAGGTGCTGCACTTATTACCCAAGCTCCGACGACGATGAGGTATTAGAATCGCCTCCGCACTCTTTCTCAGCTATGCTTACCAGGGACGACGACCCCATTGCCGACAACCAAGAACCAGTCGAACCTCAACAGCAGCAGCCCTTATCCTGGGATATGGTTTCCGATAGTCAGGACCTCATGACTGATATCCTTTCACGTCTGCCCATGACAGATGTTCTTCGAGCCAAGCCTGTCTCCAAACGATGGCACTCTCTCATCTCCGACCCCCTTTTCATTTCTGAATTCTGCCGTCGACACCCCACCTCTGTCTCGGGACTGCTCTTTTTTGGAACCTCGAAAGCCTCTGGACTAGAATTTGTTCCGTTTAACAGCAACAATCCTACTTCCACCCCCTTGATGGATTTCTCTTCTGTTCTGGGGATTGAAGTTGAGCATTCTTGCAATGGTCTCTTTCTATGTTGCAAGGACTCCTACTACATCTATAACCCAGCCATGAATCAGTTTAGACTACTTCCACCCCAGCCCAGTCATAAAATGGCGTTTTCTGTAAGCGTAGCCTTCGATCCCCGCAGATCTGCTCACTACAAAGTTGTGTTTATTATTGGCTCTGAATCTTCTGAGGGTGATGGCTGGCAGATTGAGATGTACTCGTCGGAGACAAGGCAGTGGAGACTCTCCGGAGAGCCCTTCACTTCAGATGGTATGGGTTTTGGTCCCGGCGTCTTCTGGAACGGTGCAATGCACTGGATTTGCCGGCCGGACACTTTACTGTGTTTTGATGTTGATCGAGAGTGTTTGATAGAGACGCCCACCATGCCTCAAGGGTCGAGAAGGGGGGAGTATCTCTACTTTGGGGAGTCCCGAAACCATTTACATCTTATAGTGACCAGTTCTGAGCAGCCTATCCATGGTGATGGTGATGGTGATGATTCTCAGGTTAGGTGCCTAGATGTGTTTGAGATGGAAAAGGACTACTCCGGGTGGTTTTTGAAATACAGAGTCGATCTCAATAGACGCCATAAGTGCGTCTCTATACTGCATCTTGTTCAGGGAGAGGAAGAAGAAGAGCAGTCATCGCTTGTGATGTATGTACCCGATAGCATCTACAGTTATGATCTTAAGAAACAGAGATTCACGAGTTTAACTGTTAATCGAATTAACATTCCTGGTAGGAGTGCTTGTTTAACGAGGTTAAATGTTAATCATCAAAGCATCACTAGTAGGATAAAATATTTCTGGTATTCTGCGCATCAATATATGGAGACCATGTCTGTTGTTTGATCATCTGTGTTTCATATTCAGATTCAGATCCTCCTCGCTTTAAATATATTCTTTTATCCATTTCCATTTTGACTGTTTTCATATATTATCTGCTGGTTGAGTTTCTCTGAGTGCCTGCAATTTGCTAAGGAATCCCAGAAAGCAAATCGCTTTAATCCTGAACTGAACACATGGTTTCCACTAATATCTTGTGATTTGCATTGCTGGACTTAGTGGAATCCAATCCACTTTTGAAATATCCAAATCCCTTTTCCTTTGATGTTTGATCACAATTTACTGCTTCGATATTTGGGTTGGGCTAGGCTTACCTGGCTAAATTTAAGTAAGCCTGGCCCATTATCATTCCTCCAAGGAGGGTGAAATCAAATTATCAAAGCCTACAACATGGACAAGACCCTTGGAATCAAATTATCAATTTTACAGGCTGCAAATACCAGGCCAGGTTTGGTACATTTTGGGCCAGACTCAGGAGGGAATAGATAAATGGGCCTAATTAGATATGCTTTACACCAAAAGAAGTTGAGTAAAATATTATGTGCAAAATAATATCGCTGGTTGGAACTTGGAAGTGGAAGGGTTGGATTGGATCAGCACAATCCAGGATCTGCCCATTTTGATTTGTATATAATATATAATAGGCGTTAAATCTGCTGGGCTCAGTGGAAGCCCAACCCATCTAAAAGCGGGCCAGGAAGCTAAGCTTCTAATACTTATGTGACCGATAGTGGAAAGGATGGTCTTATTGAGAATAATTTTGTCTTTTTAAAAGAAGGAAGAAAGAGTGAAGAAAAGCACACCATGGATTTAATGAAAAATTTTGAAAACCCTATGCTTCCTTTCTCGAATATTTACTTTTATTAACATCTTAGTTGACAACAATACTATATATTATGAACAATATATCTGGATTGCCAAATAAATAGCACAGTTGTGGGATAGGCGTCAACACACACATTGAGTGTCTACTTAGGAATGTGACTAATGTCTGGGCTATCAGTCATTATCTAAACATAGGGGCCATTACTTGATGTAATGGGGAAGTCTCGGGCTGGCAAGCATGAGAATCTGGGTTCCATGAGAGCTGCCACTTTGTATAAAATAATGCCAAAGGTTAGGACCCTATTGAATTTACCTGTCCCAAGGCCCCGTATACCCCTATTCAAAAACCCACAATACTAGTATTAGATGGTGGTTTGCAATTATGGATATATGAATTCTTGAAAACATCACCACCAGAACTCGGATATGCTTCCCACAAAGCACTCCCCAGCCCAACCCCACAACACATTACAGCCTTACATTGAGAACATCTCCTATACTAAGTATGTAATCATTCATAGGGAGATGTTTTCAATGCATGGCTGCAATGTGCTGTAGGGTTGGTTTGGGGAGCAGATCCGGATTCACAATTACTGGGCTGGTGGTGTTGGAAAAGTTAACACCATAGAGCTCCAACTGAAGGTAGCTCAAGGCTTTGTTTTAAAATAGGCGTCAATTGAGTTTCATTGAGAAACAATCAATACAAATACAAGTGAGTCTAAGTGTATGTGGTATCATTAAAGATAAATCATTCATTAGGCTGTGTTTGGTTTGAAGGAATGGAAAGGTAGAGAAACCTTTAGTATGGGTTTCCTTACCTTTTCTTTCAAACCAAACATAGCTTAGTGGCTAAGACTGTACTTGTCTGCAGTGTGCATACACTTTCACACCTGGAATTATGTCACCACCGATTTAGGAGAGTGTAAAATGGGGACCGGATCATTGTGCCATTTACATTCATCCAATTTGGCTACAAGGTAAATGGACAATACAATTTTTACATGTGTTTGGTTGATATACCATTGGTCGTTGTCATCTATGTCTCCCTTCCCCAGCTTGACCCTGCAACAGGGTAGTCTGTTTTTAATTAGTTCAAGCTGATATCCCATGATTTCAAAACCACCCTTCTCCATCACTGGATCGGGAAACTTCAATCGCTTAGCGACGGCACCGGTGATGCTGATAATAGAATTGGCGAAGATGGCCTTAGAGTCGGTGAAAACCTTGAAAGGATTGGTAGAGAAACCAACCTTCTTCCAAGTTTCATTGAAGATTTCCATGTCGAATCGAAGGGATTGGTTTCAACAGCAATCCATGACCTCCATTCCAAGAATCCCTTCAAGGAAACGGAGGAAGTTCTCGGCACCAGAGGTGGTAGTGGGCTGACCTCCAGGTGATATGTTGTTGGCCATCCATCCTTTGAAGAGGATGGGTTTGAGCACAGCTCGAGAGGCATAGATGGCAGTAGCGTGAGCTGCAGGGCCATTGCCAATGATATTAACCAGAGATTATCCATGGGTTTGGAGATTATCTATGGCATTAGAGATGTTACTTGAGGCAAAAGAAAGAGAATCAGCGTTCATAGCTGATATGGACACAGTTCCGACAAAGTTTTGAAATGTTTTTTTAGGTAGGATTACTGAATGTACCTTGGTTTCCGACGACAGGGAAGACAGACACAGTGGCCATTATATCGTCTTCAACTCTCTGGTGAGAAACATCGAAAGAACCAATGATAACATTACATCAATTATGGTTGTAATAACTTGAACAGAGTTTTACATCGATTTACAATGTATATTAACACCTTACCAAAGGCGAGCAAAACCAGACAGGAGTGCAAATTTGCACAACCTTGGCATCCATTCTTGGGGACTCGTGATCTAAGCAGAAATTATCTATGATTGTAAACATTGCCCTCCTAATTGTATTTCTCACCAACTTGTATTGCTCAGCCCAAAACGTTGTTTCAGGTAGAATTGGTGCAACATGTACACAATTTGATCATCAACATGCAATTCAGATCTAGTACACTATATTATATCCACATGCCATTTGCTTGGTTTGCAAGTTAGGCCAGTTTATATGCTACCTTCTGCCCGATGGGTTCCTTAATCAATTAATAATCCAGCAGCTTGGTTTGGGCTGGATTGGGCTTACCCCGGATTAATCCAAGCCCGGTCCATAGCACTATTGTCATAGTTTAATATTTAGTTATGTACCTTCAATCCTTTATCAACTCAAAGTCAAAGCTTGCAGCATACACCAGGACCTCTTCTCCACTGTCAAAGCTTGCTATGCACACCCCACAATGTATTAACCATAAATTGAGCTTGAGTTTGAGGCTTCTCATAACAGAAAGGTTTCAAGGATGATTTCTTGTAAGCTCCACCGGACTGGTGATCAGAATTCCAGCAGCACTGGAGCACAGCACTCATCAGCCGTAATCACAAACAGCAACGACCTCTTGTCTGAGATACTCCTGCGCCTCCCAGTAAAATCCCTTGTTAGATTCAAGTCTGTGTCCAAGCAATGGCTCTCTCAAATATCCAATCCACGGTTCACTCACAACCACTGCCTCCGGAATCCAAGTTCTGTCTCTGGATTGTTCTTGAGAATATCCTTAATATCCTTACCACCAGAAAAACCAAATTTTGATTTCATTTCCCTTGATGGGAAACCGACTATGGCCCCATTCAAGTCTCTCATGTTTTCTGACGACCATGAAGCTATTGATCTCAAGCAATCTTGCAATGGTCTCCTTTGTTGCAGAAGCTTCAGACGGAACAGAGGTAAGCACAATTATTACATCTATAACCCTGTGACCAAGCAATACACCACGCTTCCCCAACCCAAGGGCATTAGTGTGTTTTGCATACACTTGGCTTTTGATCCACAGAAATCACCTCACTACAAAGCTGTCTGCGTTTCTAAATCTGATACAAACAGTGAGAGTTATCAAATAGAGATATACTCTTCAGAGACTGGCCCATGGAGACTCTCTAAAGGATCTTTCAGTGTGCCACTTAGTTTGGAATTTGACAAGGCGGTTTTCTGGAATGGAGCAATCAACTGGTACAGCTTTGGAGAAGCTTCCCTGTACTTCAACGTTGATCAGGAATGCTTGCAGACAATGCCAATGCCTCCACTACCCGAGAAGTGGGATACAAAGAGATGTAGGTACTTTGGGGAGTCCCAAGGCCATCTGCACCTCATTGAAATGGATGGATATAATGCTCCTTGTACTACACATTTTGATGTGTTTGAGATGGAGAGAGATTACTCCCAATGACTTGTCAAATACAGAGTGGAACTTGATGCATTCACAATCATTTATCCAAATATGGTCCTGGAGGGAGAATCCTTCATCTCTTATGCATTCTCTATACTGTGTCTTGTTCGGGGAAGAGAAGAGGAGTCCTGCATGGTGCTACGCATAATTGATGAGGTCATTTTGTATAATGTTCAGGACAATACCTACAAGAAGCTTCATGATCTATCACCCACGTTGGGGGACTTGTTGGCATATGATGGATCAGATTCGTATCCGTATGTTGAGACCCTCTCTTGCGTTTGATATCCATAAGTTAGTGTTTTACTGTGTTATGATCTATCTTATTTACAGTACTTATTTTCCTTTTTTGTAAGTGAGTAATGGAAAGATATCAAAATTTCTCATCTATAGACACCGACCAGATGACCACATAATTTGAGGGTCTCTTCCAAACTCTTCTTAGCTCCTAGAAGATTCAAAAAGACTGAACAAGAAAACCTAGGCTCAAGGCAAACTATAACGACAGTAGCCACAGTACAACCTAAACAGTTAACAGAATAGCTCAGAGTAAACCATGACTAAATTAATATCTAGTTTGTGTGACAGAAAAATATTCATGACAGTGATTTTCCTAGAAAACAAATTCAGCATCATAATTACCAACTCTTTAATGAGGTGTGTCCTATAAGAATAAACAAATATTCAGAAACATGTTCCAACATCTAGGCACCAGAAACCGATTATGGTTGAAGGTGACTCCAAGTTGGTTATTGGTTGGCCAAAAGAACCAGAGATGGCAGCCTGGCCCTACAGGGGGGCATTGAGAAGATTTAAGTGGCTAATGTTAAATATTTCAGTCGCAGTTTAATAGGAAAGAAGATTGGCAAATGGGCTGGCAGATTTCCTAGCCAAACAAGTAATACATAGGAATCAGCTCTTTTGGGCTCACTTGTAAGCTTTATGATGTAGTTTAGAGGCTGCACCTCGTGCCTCTTTGTGGGGAGTTGAATGATGTATACTGTGATTTATTTTAATTGATACAATTACCTTTATCTATCAAAAAAGAAACATGCATGTTAATGTATGGTGTGTCTTTCTCTCAGAAAAAGAAAAAAGGATAACACAAGGACAAGAAAAGAAAAAGAAATTGTTTTAGTTAAGAAAAAGATGGCCTACAATTTACAAAAAGATCCTTATGATAACTTTGAAAAGAAATGAAATAAGAATTTGATGACTGGAAACTCAAAGACTTCCAGGATGTGGAGATTGTGGCAGTCTTCAGAACCAGCGCTATACAGTCAAAGCAGAGCCGCTGGCCCTTCTGAAAGCACACAATATGGGCCTAAATCGGCTTGAAGAGGGTACTGATGTGAGGCCAATACTAAGTGTTGCACAGTGCATGGCAGCAATTCAGTAAAATTATAATGTATGAAAGAAATATACTTTCTATTAAAGAAAAACAAACTTGTTGCATCAAAAACACCCGCTTTCCCCTCAGGGTTAACTTTTTCTATCTATTTTGAGATAAGTTTGTTTGAGGGAAGTTGGTGCAACTTGTCTCATTCTCATTTCTTGCTTCTTTTGGTTGGTTAGGAATGTTATTCATCTATATTATACAAGACCAAGGAGGGATTTGGCACATAACCTTCGGCTTCAAGATTTGTGCTTAACCTATCTATAGCCCCATAGATCTCTCTCCACTGCGGATGTGACTTGTCCTCCACAAGAAACTCATGTACTAAACTATTCACCTCAATAGAGCTGCACCCTGGCATCCTTTTCTCTATCCCCATATTTCTAATCATCTTCCTCATCTTCTCAGCTTCACCCCACTGTTTCCCAGATGTATATATGTTCGACAAGAGTACATAGCACCCTCCATCTCCTGGTTCTATTTCTTCCAGATGCTTAATTACATCATTGCAAGCACTAGTATCACCACAGATCCTGCAAGCAGTAAGAAAAGATCCCCAGATAATGATATTTGGCTCCATTGGCATATTTTTAATTAAGTATTTAGCTTCATTGATGAGACCTGCTCGACCAAGAATATCTATCATACAGCCATAATGTTCAATTTTTGGTACAATGCTGAACTCCTTGACCATGCGGTTGAATTGCCTACGACCCTCATCCACCAAACCCACATGACTGCAAGCAGACAGAATCCCTACAAATGTTATGTCATTGGGTCTTACATTAGCAAGTTCCATCTGTTTGAATAGTGTTAATACATCATTTCCATAACCATGCATGGCTAGTCCACATAATATAGCATTCCAAGAACATACGTTCTTATGTGGCATGCCATTAAAGACTTCAAGGGCTATGTCAATGCATCCACACTTTGCATACATGTCTACAAGAGAAGTACCCAAGAAAACATCATTAATCAGTTTATTCTTCCTGACATAGGCATGGATCCATCTACCCATGTCTAGTGCCCCAACCTGAGAACAAGCCGAGAGAGCACTCACCATTGTAACACTATCAGGTCTAACACCAGCAAGCTGCATTTCTTTGAAAAGATCCAAGGCCTCCATAGCCCTTCTACTCTGGGCATAGCTCGAAATCATTGTGCTCCATGAAACTAAGTCTCTATTAGGCATATCATCAAACAATGATCTTGCAACACTGATCTGCCCACACTTTGAATATCCACTAATGAATGCATTCCATGACTCAACATTCCTCTCTGGCATTTCATTGAACAATCTCCTTGCATTCTCAATATCACCACAGGAAAAGCAAGCATTTATCATCGTATTCCAGTTAACCACATTGTAAGCAGGAACTTCTTCGAATAGACAATATGCTGCCTTGACATCTCCACATTTTGAGTACATGTGAATTAGTGCATTATGAAGAAATACGTCAGAACAAAGTCCAAGCCTCAGGAGTTTTCCATGAACAGTTCTTCCTTCCTGGTAACTGGGTATTAAAGAGTAAGCCTTGAGAACAAATACGAAGGTGAATTTATTGGGCTCAACACCTTGCGCTCTCATTAAACCATAGAATTCGATAGCTTTCTCGGGAATTTTGATCTCCATGAAACCCCTGATAATGGTCGTCCATGTGTATGCATTAGGTCGATCAATACAATCAAAAACACGAAGAGCGTAATCCATATTTCGAGCAGACATCACACAATACTCTATCATCTTAGTAGCGACAAATGTGTCTGTGATTTGATTTGTACGGAGGATATGAGCGTGGATTTCTTTCATTTCCTTCATGGATTTGCAGGATTGAAGTAGAGAGATGGTTTGGTGGCTTGAAAACTTGAATTTGGGGATAAGGGCTGTGAATGGTCGGCGAAAAGAAAGGAGGGAAGAAATGTAATGCATTTCTAGTAGCCATTAGAATTAATTTCAGAACAGGGCGAGTCAATTACCGAATCAGGGGGAATCAGCATTTGTTATCTATGGTATTGCTTCCTGTTTGAGACCTTCATGTTCAAATTCTCTCAATCGTCGACAGAATATATATACTAAGAAGCAAGCCAGAGATTCGCGTAAATAAGAGGAAACGGAGAATGAAGAGACGAAGAGTGGGTTGAATTTTGGGCTTAGCCGCCTTAGGTAATAACTCGATTGTCAACTGTCAAGTGTCAACGCTATGAGCCGGTGATCGGCTTTGTTCAACCGGAGGATGGGCCGGATCAACCAAAAATGTCTACCTTAATTGCAGTTGGCAGATGTAAAATTTACCCCGGGTCCAGCATTTACGGTCTGTTTGGTTTGCGGTCGAGATCGGAATTGGAATCGAAATTGAATTCCCTGGACTCGGTATCGAAATTGCCTATTTGCAACGCAAGTTTGGTTCAAACAAGAATCGAATTCAGATATGTTTGGTTCAATCGAAACTAGAATTTGAATTAACCGAAAATTTTCAATTTTTTGTTAGTTTATTAATATTTTATTATTAATGTTCTATTATTTTATAATTACCTTATTATTATTATTATTGATTTAATAATTAATATCTTAGTATTTTATTATTAATTTATTATAGTATTATTATTTTATTACTATTCTACTGATAATTTTATTAATAATTTATTATTTTATTATTATTACTTTAATAATATTTTATAAAATTAAGGTTAGGTGTATTAAGGCTCTGGAGCAAGGTTTTTAAAACCGACCCGGACAACAAACTGGTTAGGGGTCAGGTTCCCGGGTTAACGGTCCAACCATTAGAACCAAACGATTGGCCTATTTTGATAAAAAATTAAAAAAAAAACGGTCAAAACCGTTGAACGATTCGATCGATTCAACTGCCTGGATCAACGGTTTGTTGACCAAATCAACATTTTTTGACAAAAATCTGACTTTGGGGAAAAACGAAACCGGTCACCTGGCTGGTTCCCGGTTTTTTCAATCCGACCATCCGGTCAGGTTTTGAAAACCATGTTCTGGGGTTTGTTGATTAAGAGTTCTTTACATTTTTAGAAACTCTAGAATGGGAATCTTATTCCCAAGAGAGAGGTCAAGAATGGCCATTCCCTCATATAGGGGAATCCAATTCCGACCAAACAAATGGCTAGAATTGGAATATGCCTTATTGATTTTGACTCCAACCTCCCATTCCAAAGGAACCAAAGGAACCAAATGAACCCGAACACTTGTTTGTTTCCAAATTCTTTTTGCCTTGATTAGAGCCTTGGAGGTAAATTTTGCATTAGGCCCACATAACTTTTGCCTTGTAGTGGTTTAAAATTTCTGGTCATTACTTTGTGGAATAAAATCATGAAAACTAAGTTAGACATTCCATTTAGGACCTGTGAGAATTTTCATCTAGATAATTGCCAAGTGTGTTTGTGACAATCATCTGATTTCTATTTTTCAATAAATAGAATCACGCTTGGCATCACCAAATTTCTTAGAATCAATTCTCTAACTTACCAATATAAAAACATGCCGATTCTAATAAATATAAATCCAATTGAAGCTGCATTGTACTATATTATGTTTAAATCATGTCTTCAAATGAGAAATACATGAACCTGTAACTCTAAATATTATATATTGGTAGTAGCATGTGAGAAAATTTATCATTCAAGGATCGGATATTCATAATGTAAAACCTCAGCCTAGAAGATGGGATGCTGGGTATTTGGAGAGCAAATTATCATTCAAGGAGAATATTGATCCCTTTTATTGAACCAATGGTTCCATGTGTGGAGGCTGCTAGTATGATATAAGTATCAATATTTGTTCACGATGCAATGATAGAACCATATTCAAACCTTCAAACCATCACTGTTTTCAGTACTTATAAGTTTTCAATCCCTTAGAACAGAATTGTTATAGCAACAAAAGAAGCATAAGAAGAACAGAATAGAAAGTTCTGAAGCAATTTACAACAACATTTCAGGAGCGTATCTTTCAGCAACAGAATTATGAATGGTTTAATTTACAACATTTGTTTGTTTAGATCATTTTGTAATGTATACCTTCTTTCATTTCTATAAACAAACGAAAATCCATTCTAAAACTACCATGCAAGTAAGATATTTGTTTGGTCAAGATGTCTGCAATCTGGTCCGTTGTTGGAATACACCAAATTTGAAGCTGCTTCTGGGTGACAAGGTCATGCAAGAAATGGAAGTCCATCTCCACATGTTTCATACGAGCATGAAAAATGGGGTTGGTGGCCAGGTGGGTAGCACCCATATTATCGCACTAGATAATAGGGGGAGGAGCTAGAAAGCCAATGTCTCGTAATAGAAACTGAATTCATAACAACTCTGTGACTGTGTTGGCGAGAGATTTGAACTCGGATCTAGGAAATCAGGTTGGAGCCAAGATAAACTGCATAACCTCTTGTAGATCGTTGATCATCAGGATAGTTGGCCCAATCGGCGTCTATGTAAGCAGTTAATTGCCGGGAAGAAGATCCCCGAAAGTGAAGACTGTGAGTGAGAGTGCCCTTGAGATAGCAAAGTATGTGCTTGACGGCTGTCCAATTCATCAGTGGGAGACTGAAGAAACTAGCCGACTTTTTTGACTACAAAGGATATACCCGGACGAGTTATGGTGACATACTGTAGAGCTCCAACAATGCTCCAATACTTCGTGGGATTAGGCAAGGGATCATCAGAATCTTTTGAGAGATGTCCAGAGATAGACATGGGCGAGCTTGCAGGTTTGGCCCCTTCAAGGTTGGTTCGACGCAGTAGATCTAGGATGTAGCGCTGCTATGAGAGGAACAAACTACCAGATTTGCAAATGACCTCGACCCCTAGAAAATAGTGTAGGGACCCTAAGTCCTTTAGTAGAAACATTGAAGAGAGTGACTTGAGAAAATCACTAATGGCAGTCGTAGAGTTTCCAATCAAAATAATGTCATTGACATATAGTAGCAGAAACATGGTCAATTGTTTGGAGGAGAGAATAAAGAGAGATGGATCAGTAGTGGAGTTGCAAAATCCCATCTGTTTGAGGACCGAGCTCAATCGCGAATACCAGGCTCGTGGTGCTTGTTTTAGGCCATAGAGAGCCTTCTTCAGTTTGCAGACATGATTCGGATATCTGGGATCAATGAACCCTTTTGGTTGATGGACATAAATATTTTCATCAAGAATGCCATGAAGGAAGGCATTGCCAATATCCAATTAATGAATCAGCCAGTCTTGTGCAAGGGCAATGGAAAGTATTGTCCGTACGGTTACTGGTTTGACAATCGGACTAAAGGTATCAAAGTAATCTAGACCAGGGACTTGGTTAAACCCCTGAGCGACCAGACGAGCTTTATAGCGATCAATGGTTCCATCTGCCTTCTTCTTTGTTTTGTATATCCACTTAGTTCCAATGATGTTCATGGAGGGATCGAACGGAACCAAGTACCAAGTGTCATTTTTAATAAGGGCTTGATATTCCTTTTACATAGCCAGTTGCCAGTTTGGCGATTTGGCAGCTTGGTTAAAATTTTTTGGTTCTTGGTCTTGTAGGAAAGTGAGAAGAGTAGAAGGGATTGGATATCGCGTCGCAAGTTGGGACCGAGGAAGGGTCCTGTCCATGGATCATGTACGCATAAAATGAGTGCATGCCGGATGAGAAACCGACACTGTAGAGTCTAGTAAGTCTTGCATACTTTGATACCTTTGTGGCCAATCAGAAGAAGACTGCTCCAAAGGTCCTGAATCTGAAGAGAAGGGCATTGAACTAGACCTGGAAGCTAGTGCAGATGGAGGCTGCGACGAAGGAGGTATTGGCGGTGTTGTAGGTGGCAGAGGTGCAGGTGCTGAAATGAGAGTTCTTGTAGAAGCAGGAGTTGTGCTTTATGGTGCTTCAAAAATTCCTGGAAATAAAGTTTCATCAAATACCACATGGTGAGCTATAAAAATACGCCCCTAAAGAACATGGAGACACCGGTACCCTTTGTGAGAGGTACTGTAACCAATAAAAATGCATTGAAGAGACCGGAACTAAAACTTATTCTTATTGTAGGGTCATAGAAAGGGATAGCACGCACACCCAAAACAATGCAACAAAGAGTAATCAGGAGATGTCTGAAAGAGTTTCTCATGAGGGGACATACCTTGCAATACCATTGTTGGTAGTCGATTTATTAGAAAATCTGCAGTTTCTACCACATCAGCCCAGAAGGAGAAGGGGAGCTTGGAGGAAGCCAGTAGAGATAAAGCAGATTCAACCACATGTTTGTGCTTCTTCTCAACTAATCTGTTCTGTTGTGTATGAGGGCACACCAATCGATGTGTGATGCCTTGCGAATCCAAGTACCGGGAAAGAGAGCGATACTCTTTGCCCCAATTTGATTGAAACACTTTTATTTTGGCATTGAATAGAACCTCTACATGTCTCTTAAATTTAATATATAAATAACACACATTTGATTTTTGAGCCATAGGATACACCCAAGAAAATTTTGAAAAATCATCCACAAAAATAACATAATAAGAAAATCCATTATTCAACTTAACAAGAATAGGTCCCTATACATCTGAAAAAATTAAATCTAATGGACACTTAGACTGAGAACTGGACTACTTTAAGGGCATTCTATGACTCTTGCCCATTTGATAGGACTCACAAACAGACTCGTTACCACTGGATCTAATAAACGGAAGACCAAACTTTGAAATAACTTTCCGTACATTACGCATAGTTGCATGACCAAGACAATGACGCCATCTACAAAGTGAAGTATGTTCTCCAAGAAGAGCTTCGGGAGTGATTGTGGCTGATGCAGGAAAACTGTATAACCCATC